CAATGGGGTTTAAACGGATTTGATCCAACGAGACAAATCGATCAAAAATGAAAAACGTAAAATACGAATTGAAATCATGGATGTTTTGGAATCCATTTGATAATTTGTGATACCTTTTTAACGAATCGAGTTCCGTTTTCAAAGAACGAATCAAATTTGGAAGATTTTGGTTCTTTTGTCGGAATGAGAAAATCTCCAAATCGAACATTGTACCACCCACCATGCGAGATGTACAACTTGTTCTTCGTGTTCTTCGTGTTCTTCAACGATCCAAGAACATCTTCAAAAGAACCACCAACATTTTTGGGTTTTGACTTCATATTCAATGCAACCTTTGGAGATTGTTGCTTTGGAACCCAAATTTGCTTCACGGATTTTGGCTTCACAACATTTGACGATTTTTGTGAGTAAACCCGCTTATTCTTCCGATTCATCTTCTTCTTCTTTTTCTTTTTCATCTTTTTGCATCTTGAAGATTTGATTTCATGAATAAACCCACTTTTCACAACATCAACTTTGTGAATTTGAATCAAATCTTTTGGAGTTTGATACTTGTGAATTTCTTGGATTACCGGCTTCCGATAAGGAATCATTCCTTCAAACGAATCACAAGAACACAAAGTATCATCGGTTTGAACTCCAATTGAGCAAAAAAAAATTTCATCTTGAAAATCAACTTGAACTCCTTTTTCTTGAACATTAAGAACATCCGGGTAAGAAGCAAGAACATTATCACCATATATGCATTCATCAAGACGAATTCCTTCAATTACTTCATCATCTTTCTTCTTCTTTCTTCTTTCATGATAAGTTGTCACCAAACGATTAAGCAACATCTTATGATGATCATGATCAATAGGATAACCAATGAATTTTCCACATTCACATTTCATACTAGAAATGAGTGTATTTTGTTTGAAATATTCGGTTACAAAACAATTGAGAACTCCTTCAAAACTAAATGTCCATGGAAAATCCTCCATAAAAACTCCATAAATTGTTTCTTCCATCTTTGATCAATTGATATGAACTTGGGTTTTCTAGAGAGAGAAAGTGAATATGAATCAAATTCTAGTGAGAGAAAGTGATACAAACAAGTAACTAGAGAGAGAAAGTCGAATTATGGATCAAATCAAAGAAAAATTCGACTTCAATAACACAAAAACACTCTAATCACGAAGATCCATGATCAAAAAATGAATCATCAAATCAAAATCGCCATCAAGGATCAATTCTTGATGAAATCAAGAACACCCGCTCTGATACCAATTATAGTGGTGTTGATTATGATGGCATGTGCGGAATTAGAAAAGATCTAATGATTCATCATACAAATTCAAGAACACAAGGAGTAAATAATTCTTTTTAAGCTCTTATTATATCTAGAAAGAATATACAAATGGGTTTGTACAAAAATTCTCTCTCTAGTCTAACACTCCATATGGACTCTTACATAATGGGAGTCACTCACTTCCTATTTATAGGAAAAGACTCAACCCATTTACACATACAAAGAGGAAAGCCTTAAACAATACATCCAAGCATGACTTTGCACACTAACAGTGGGTGCACTAGGGTTTTGTGCAACACTATTATTCCAACACTCTGTTATATGAGAAATCATTTCTGGAATAAAAATATTTTCTGCCAAAAATATCTTAGGACTATAAATAGAATTCTGAACCAAATTCATTCATTATTCGCATTTCCAACTAGAGAAAAGCCATTTTCTCTCTCACGGATCTTCGGGTTTTTATCCCAAAACGTGAGTACCTCTTGCTAGTAGTGTTAGATAGCTTAATATGTGTTTATAACATGATTTAGTTGGCTAAATCATTAGATTTAGGAGTTTACTCCCCAAGGTGTTCTTGGGCGGTAAACTCCCGAAACAAAGCCTAACCTTTCCCTTGTATTATGCTACTACTTTGGACTCATGTATAAGTGTATTAGGGACAAGAAAACATCAAAGAATCACCCAAGTTTAAGAGTTCACGGCCCAAGAGGATCTTGGACCGTGAACTCCAAAATCATGCACAAAAGGGTGCTTTTAAGGCACCTAAAGCCTTAGGCATTTACATAGACTTGTTCCCATTTAATCAAGGGCCTTAAACACATCAAGAACACCCTTCAAAGTGAGTTCACGGCCCTAATAAGGTTCTTGGGCCGTGAACATCAAACAAAGGCACCAAAGTGTGCCAAAGGCCTTGATATGCTTGGAATAAAAGTTTGAGACCTATACTACATGTGAATAAGACTTGAAAGCATCAAAAACACCCATCCTTAAGAGTTTACGGCCGCAAACTCTAAGGGAAATGGCCTTAGGGCCGTAAACTCCTCAAAGGGGTGTTTCTATGCCTTAAACCCTTCCAAGAATTTAACCACCAAGTTGGAATAATTCTAGGGATCATTTGGGACTTCAAAACACAAAATATCACCAAGATTGTGAGTTCACGGCCGTAAACTCAAGATTTTACAATCGTGAACTCCATGTGTGATGATATTTAGAGAGTAAACTCAAGTATAGGGTCCTCTGGAACCCTAAACCCAAGTACCTTGTCCCACGATAGCTTAAATGCAATCCTTATGGCTTAAAACACTTATATAAAGTGTTTATTTTGTTCTAGGATGTCTTAACTTTATCAATTAGTAATTTAAGTCTAATTGAGTGCATATATGTGTGATTATATGTTCATTAGGATCGTAGTGTGTGTATAAGTCCTCACTTGACACCTAACAATCCTGCACCGTCCAGTTCATCTAAACTACCATCTACAGGTGAGTTCATACCCCTAATCAATGTTTTAAATGATTTTAAATGCTTTAATGGGGGAGTACAAGTAGAAAAAGCATGTTACTAAATCATCTATATGTATTTTATAACCGTGTTTTCATTCAACAGATTTCACATACTATAAAATGTGATGCATGAAATGGTTTTCTATCTTTAAAATACTTTGTTATCAGATGTATTACTTTCGAAATGTTTATCAAAATGACATCAAGTCACTTTTATATTTGTTCAAAACCCTTAGATGTCTTACAAAACCATTTTACATTCTTGAACTAAACTATGCATATACACTTATATTCTTATATATGTATTGATGTTATAGTTTTCATCTTTCATTTAGTTTCCCACACTCTTGTGTAGCAAGGGTGTATAAACCTACTTGAACAACCAATTACCTTTCAGTTAACTATCATAGGGATAGTTAGAAGATAACAAACATTATTCCTATTACAAGGAAATCACACAAGAGTCAATTCATTCATGAGTCTATACCAATACATTACTTGATACATGAGTACGTTTACATATGTTTACATGATACATGAACACGCTTACATGGGTACTTGTACTTAGAGTTACGAGGAAGATTTATTCGTACCTTCTGTGTAAATTTTCCTGCCCATCCCAGTTGAAGGGGGTGTCTAGACGAGACTAACCATTCCGGAACTCAGCTGTTAGCACCAGTGGGTGATGAACATCTACGGATGCCTACAGTTACTATCTATATTAGGAGATCGATATCGGGACTAACCCTCCCTCCACCCTGCTGCCGCTACAAAAGGTGAGGGGACAATCTTCGGATGTTCATTAGGGTATACCTTTCGCTTCGGTGATGTCGTGTTAATCATGGTCACCCAGGGATAACACTTACATGATTATGTTTTTTTTCCTGTTTACTTTATGTTGTGATACTTTCACATAAACAATGAGTTAGACTAAGTACTTTAGTACTAGTCAATAGAAGGAAAAACTATCATTTTACTTACAAAACATTCGGGTCTTGGTTGAAGACTACTTTACATACTATAGAAAATAAGGGATTTTCTAGGGCTTTTCATACTTATATCAACATTTTCATTTAAAGGTTTACATGACTTTTAAAACAGCTTTTCAAAGCAAGACAATGACACTTAAATACTTATGAATTCACCAGCTTTAAAGCTGATACTCTCTTTCAAAATAACTTGTATTCTCATGTCATCAGTAGACAGGTACGGAGGCCAGCTTTTGAGAAGACGGAGCAGACAGGTTTCGTCTTTTATTTTGATTGTATATTTTGGTGTCTTATTACAATGAAAGAACACACATGTATTAAAACTTTACTTATAATGCAATGGATGATGTTGTTGCTTGTTTACTATTTTACACTGTTGTGATACTGTACATGACGTCCTCCACCCCTGAACGTTTCCGCCGTTCGTGGTTTTGGGGTGTTGCACATGAAAGCTTTTTGAGAGATTATGTTAAGAATAAACCTCACAAATTTTATAGTTTTGTAGCAACCACTTTTATTATATTCACTTTTTTATTAGATTTGTATGTTGTACATTAACTCATTTTATTCAATATTGCTCTATCATGAGTATATTAGATTTATCATTAAAAAAAATCCTTCAAAGCTTTATTTTTTTACTGATTAATTTGTTTAATTTTAATCCCCAATATTAATTTCATGTATTGTAATACATTGATTTTATTTAATGTTATTGTTAAATACTAAAAAAAATACTACACATGTTTAAAAATAACAAATTAAATGAAGAACTTTATCATAAATTTCGTTGAAATATTGATAAATTAGTTCATTATTTTTTTTAAAGTGATAATATGATCTAGAGAAACCAAATATGCTCTTACCTTTTGTCTCAGACAAATGTAAAAATCAAAAGAATAGACTAAGAAATAACTAATGCATTTCACATGTCATTATTATATATAAAATAAAGAAAAATCAAAAGAATAGACTAAAAGATAATTAATGCCTTTCATATATATATATATATATATATATATATATATATATATATATATATATATATATATATATATATTAGTTTATATAAAATAAAGATAAAGATGGGTAGTAACAAAAAAGGGGTGGATGTATCATCATCTTTTAGCAACTCAGACACCTCATCACCTGTTAATATCTCGTTATTGGATCAGTCAAGAATAAGTTCGATTTGGTGGTCAATGTAGACATTCATTCTTAGCTTGTTCTTATCCATGTAATCATTTTCCATAAAGTCAAAATAATCAACATCATTGTCGATTCTTCTAATACCCTCTTATGAGTACTACAATAGTAGAAATTACCACAGCTTCGTCTTGTCAGCTTTGAAACCCACAACACAAATTCTCTATAGTTCATGCCACCAAAATCCACCTCACGAATGGACATACTCATGGGGTCTAAGTACAATAACGGGTTTGGTGCAAACATTCCATTGTAGTGAAAATCTACAGTGAGATACTTACAGTTAGGTGATTCCATTGTAGTGTCTACAGGGGACGATTTCGATTTCGAGTCCTCGTTTAGATCACTCATCCTTTCATCCTCACCTGACACCTCCATTCTCAAAGCCATCACTCCTCCTCCAGAAGACTACCGAGCACCACCATCTGTCGTCCTCACAATGACTACCGGAATACTGGATTCTACTCCTCTGTACCAAACGAAAACCATCACCGCCTTTTGCCCTAATACCCTGTAATCGTAATTTTGTCGCTTCTTAAAGTGGTTAACTAAGGATGTTGTAAAATCATTGCTTTTTTCTCATGATGTCTCCATATTAGAACAATAGAAAACACTCCATAAATCTTCCAGGTACTATTTTGCTTTATATATATTACAATTGCTTGATGACCAATGAATTGCATTTTAGGGATTTGCATATGATGTTTGATCTCCTACGAGAAGAGGCAAATTTCGTAAACTTTGACTTCACCTAAACTAAAACTGATTCTGATTTAAGAAATTATCAAAGAATATATGTGAAATGTCACTCTTGTATGTTTCAGCCTGTCATATCTGCTTCCAATCTAGTGTATTCCCAAACTATTAAATGTTGATTAGTTTAAGTTTCATCACATTATCTAGCATAATCAACCTAATTACTTTGTGCAACAGGTTGCTGGATGGTGTTTATTTTGATAATATATATAATAAAAAAAGTTAAAATCATGTTGCAACAGGTTGCTGGATGGTGTTTATGGTGCCGCCGAATTCACTTTTTATTAATCTCAATTATATAATTGCTTAAACCAATTTCATCATATTGAAATTTGAGGAATCTACAATTTGCACGTCTACCATCATTCAAATGACACAAGGTAGCTCAAATAAATATAAGTTCTGTAATATTAATGGGGAATGGATATGAGGCGTAACAAAGGAGGCACATCAGACTAGCTTGAGGTTTGGTAATATTGATTAAGAAATGTAAACCATAGGAGGTTGTGATGTTGAAGAATATGTGATAAGATCTTATGAAAGATGATACGCATCACAGTAATCGAAATATGTGAAGGGTATTTTTGTGGAGAAAAAAAAAGATTGATGCGTGTTCTACTTTGTTCCACTCTTTTGGGTGGGACTAAAATGTAGGCAATTAGTTCCATTTGGACTTGGTTAAAACCACTTTTTGTTCTTGTTCCAACCTTTCCTAACACCCTCTAAAAAGTTGTTATGTTCTGTTCCGCTCACCAAACGCTACCTAATAGAATACGGTTGACCTTTTTTTTTTTTTTTTTTTTTTTCAATTTCAACTTTACTCATTTTTTATATTGTAGTAGTCTTATATACACAAATTTATGTGGTGTTCACTTTACACAAGGCAATCAAATATCAATAGATGGTAATTTTGCACCTTTAGCATCAATTTGCAAACTTTTCTTCCTAACTTTTAACCAATCAATTCTTTGAAGTAGTTATGTAATAGTCATTTTCCTAATTTTGATTGTGGTTATCCAACTTTAGGTTGATTGTGATTATCAAAAATTCTTTGTGTTTGATGATTTGTAATTCTACTCGCAATGCCATGTAATAAATAAATAAATAAATAATTAACTTGGTAATTAGTTGCTGTTCTCCAAATTAACTTTTCCTCTAATTGGTAAAAGCTTGTAAAAATGTTGTTATCACGGGTATCACAATAAGGTACATTGCCCATTTTGGCAAAAGAAGAAAAGTAGGTTGCTATTTCTAGCAATTTGCTTGTTTTCATACAACACATTTCAAATAAATCTATATACAACCAATATCCAAGCAAAAATACTAAAACAAAACTATATTTGGTATTTACTGCATCAAAGTACACCCTAATTGAATCAATACACTGTTCATCCACCGTTCATTCCAAATGTCCTGAAATTGTTTGGAATTTTGTCATATCCTTTAATGTCTCTAGAATCGAATGTCTTCCACAACCTCCATCCTGGTGCAGCATATTTAGCTGACTTGCCTCTCTCCCATTAAGCCCTAATGTGAACAAGGAAGTAGGGAAAATATTTGCAAAAGTTTAGGATATGTAGACTTACATCATCCTTATTATACTAATAACCAATTATACTAAAAATTATGAACTCAATATAGTAAGAAAAGGATAGCCACACAAAAAAAACAGTTAATCATGCTATACAGAGTTTGACCATATTTTTATCAAAACAGAAACAGTTTTACTATCCAAATATGATGTCCAAATAAAAGGTCAAATTCTCTGTATTAAAGTCCAAAAATCGTACACAATTCCGTAATGTTTTCTAGTAATTCTTTCAACATGCACAAGTTTACTGGAAGCCATTATTAACAAAAACTACATGACAACCAAAAAAAACACAAAGATGTGGTGCAATGAAGATTACATAATACAGTCGCAACCAATAAATATATACATATCATCTTAATGGTAAAAGTTCTACAAAACCCGAAAACTATTCAAATACTGCACTTATAGTTTTTTCTTATTTTTGTACTAGTTTTGATGGTTAGTTCAATATTAAAATAGTATTATCAACAAACCAAAACAAACAAGTCTCAAAATTAATGTTACTAATACTTTGGGATAGTTATCAAAAAATAAAAAATATACGGAAATTGAAAATCTTACTTAATAAGTAATATTGCATTTATCAACAAAAAAACATAAAAGAATTTGTGATGTTTATCATAAGAGATGGGATGTAATACCTATGAAATCCAAAGAGGGAAACAAGTTGTATAACCCTCTTTCACATTTGTTAAGAAACAATGATTATAATAACGTAATCAAAATGAATTAACCAGTTTTATGTAAGAGACATGGATGATGGTAAATTAGACGACATACCTATTGTAGCTGATTACATCTATTGTCACATTTGATGGGTCGTAAATGGTCTTAAGATCTCCAAGCTTTGGGCAATGCCGAATACTAAGTGTTTTAAGGCATGGGAGGTGTGGTAAGACCTCTGAAAATGATTCCACTTCCGTAAAACCAACGAGCGATAGAGAAACAAGAGATGGTGGAAGAAGAAAAGATGATGATGATGATGATGATGATGATGGATTAGTAATAGTATTATTCTTCACATCCTCTGCCACTGCAAATGAATCCACTCCTGAATCTTCACCAAATAACCACAGATCAACTAGTGAGGTAGGAAAATTCTGCAGGCCCCACTCTGACATGGGCTTATTTAAGCATCCTATCGTGAGTTTAGTCAAATTAGGAGGCCACACCCCACAAGGAAAGGAGTAGTCCATACTTGGACATTGACTTATCTCCAGTTCTTCCAAAGATGTGAGACTTTGAAAATGCTCATGAGGAAATGACTTTAGATTCTTGCAAAATCTGATTTCAAGAGATGTTAGGCAAGACATGGGGAGAAAACCACAACCTGTGACTGGAATGGGATTGGGTTGTAATTGTACGTTATCACAATCACTAACTATCGATTCAGTAAGAGGGGATGGGTGCTCCTGCATTGCTGAGAAGGTCAAGGATGTCATTGAATCACAACTACCTATATGCAACCTCTCAACAGTATGTGTACAGTTGTAACTCTCCAATGTCTCACAGCTATAAAATATCACAGATTTAAGAGATTCCATGCTCATCCCAAAATTGTCCTCTTTCTCAGCTGATGAAACCAAGTTTTTACAATGAATTACTACCAACTTCTGTAAACTCACAAGACTCTTGCATGCCTCTGATTCTCGTTCCCACAAGTATCTCAGTTCATCACAACTATGAATATATAGATATTCAACTGCCCCAAGATGCACTAAATCTTTTCCATGTAGTTGAGTAAGTCCTTTAACATTCACCATTTTCAAACTAACAAGTGATGGGGACAAACCAACCATGCTTCTTAACACTGCTTCAGAACATTCTTCTATATGTAAAACCTGAAGTGAAGGTATCAGTCCGATGGACACTTCAGCTAGTTCAGGACAACATTTAATAGAGATCTCATGAAGACGAGGAAATGATCTAGGAGCTCCATGGTCATCACTACTATCAATCGACCATCTCTGCCAACCTTCCATATCCTTAAATGTCAGAACTTCAAGTGATGGAAATCCAATGCCAATAAAAGAACTTACAGGTGCAAGAAACTCAAAACCCACACTCTTCACCTCACTCATGCTTCCAACAACCAATTTCTTAAGAGACCCTAAACATCCAAGTGTTGGTAACTGTGTACTTCTACAACCATATAACGTAATCTCTGTTAACTGATCAAACGAGGGATCCCCGACCCAACTAGGAAATCTCGTTCCCTTGTTATTCAGAATGTAGAGGTTTCTTAACTTAGGATGGGGCCTTACTTCTTTAAGCACTTCATATTCAATCGTCTCATTCCGAGAATCATCAAACACATTATCACTCCATTTCATCTCCACAACTTCAAGACCCTTCTTTTGATGTAAGTTGGCATCCTTTGCTTCTATTGGATTTATCACTTTGTCTAGACCCATAATGGAAAGCCGGCCTTGAAGATCCGATAGGCCCTTAAGGTCAGATACTTTGAACCCGTTACCTTCTTCAATAAAGACCTTGGGTAGAGTTTGAAGGCTCGTCAACTGACTGATCCCTAAGGGCATCTTCTTCAAATTCGGAGTATTACTAAAGTCAAGATGTCGCAGGTTTATTAACTTTGCAACACTTTCTGGCAAGCTAGATAACTGATAACAGTAATGAAGCAACAAGGTCTGTAGATTATAAAGGTCACTCACTTGTTCCGGCACACATGTGATTAGAGTATAAGAAAAATTAAGGTACCGTAGATGCTTGAGACTACCAATGGATTCTGGTACCTTCGTGATTATCTGACTACCTCGGGACATGTGATTCAAGCCCATGACACTTAGCACCCTCAGGAATTGTAGTTCAAGAAGAACCTTGTCCAAAAAGCTGTTGCTCTCCAAACCATCTGACATGACTAAGAAAGTTCGCAAGTGTTTAGCTCTTTGTAATTCATTAAGCTTTCTGTATGATCCAGATCTTGGACCTACAAGTGAAAAGCGACGAACCTTATCAAAAGCTTCATTCATATCAGATGCATCCACCTCACCATCCAATCTAAAGGAAAACTCTCCTGCAACACTTGTGGCCAAGTCATTTATCAAGTCATGCATCGTATATCCTAACTCGTTCGTTGATTGTTGAAAAAAGGACCTTGATTTTAGCTCATCAAAATACTCATGACCCAAATTTTCCATTGACTTGTTTCCTTTTGATTGGGAGAAAAATCCTTCTGCCACCCACAATAGGACTAATTTATTTTTGTCAAACACATAGTCCTTGGGAATTAAGGAGCAATATGCAAACAACTGCTTCAGATGTGGAGGGAGATGATAGTAGCTTAGTTTTAGAGCCGGAAGAATCTTATTTCCATCATCAATATCCCATATCTCACTCTTCAACAACTCCTCCCATTTATCGTCATTTCGATTTCCCTTCAAGACCCTCCCAAGTGCTGTCAAAGCCAAAGGCAATCTACCACATTTCTGAACCATACCTTCACCAAACAACTTAAGTGTTGGATGTTTGTCAAAGTTTTTTTCTCCTAGCGCATGTTGAGCAAATCATGACAGTGCATCTTCATTTGACAAAACGCCTAGAGGGTAAGTTTCTTGCGAGTCCATCACTGATGCAACCCTGATACTCCTGGTTGTGACAATAACTCTACTTCCAGGTGCCCCTACAAGAAGAGGGCTCTGGAGGAGTTCCCACTTACTGTAGTCTTCATTCCAGACATCGTCTAAAACAAGTAAGAACCTCTTCTTTGAAAGTTTTTCTTTGAGGGCAACATGAAGCAGATCAAGATTAGCAAAATCTTCATTTTTCCCAGTTACTGCTTGGAAAATAGCCTTGCTAATGTTAGATACATCCAACTCTTCAGCAACGCAAACCCATGCTCTGAGTTGAAAGTGATCCTTCACTTTCTCATCATTGTATAAAAGTTTGGCAAGAGTGGTTTTGCCTATTCCACCCATACCAACTATTGACATTATGCTCACACTTTCATCACATTCTTCTTCCCCCAACAACTTCCCCATCAATGCCTCTTTATCCCCTTCCCGGCCCATGATTTTGGACTCATCAACCAGTGAATTTTGCTCCAACCGTTTCTCTGTAATATTTGACCTTTCAACATTCACCTTCAAACCCAAATCATTTTTCTGGTCAACAAGGTCATGCAATTTGGTGGTGATCTCATCTAGTTTAGAACTCATCTTCTGACCATACATAATGTTGTGAGGAGTGAAATTAGTACAACAATTTGGGACAAATTTCAATACATTACTAGTGCTGCTGTTGGCACTAGTTTCTCGATTCAACTTGCGTCGCAGAGCTTCTGTGGCCAAATCATCGAGTACATCGTCTATGTCGTAAGCCAAATCCCGGAGATCGTTCACCCACAGTTGGACAGCCCTCTCTTTTATCTGCTTCTGGCTTGCATCAGTAAGCACGGCTTGGATCAGGGACATGTTTTTCTTCCATTTTTTCAGTTGAGAATCGATTCCTTCCGATCGAGCCAGCTTCATCAAGTCACCGGAGATCAGCTTCTCACACAGCACAGTGAGGACTGCAGTAACAGCGATTTCAGCCATTGGAATTTGGAAAAAGGAAAGACAGTTTTTTTTTTTGAAGGTTTTGATTTCAAAGGATGAAAATTTGCAGAAGCAAAAGGGTTGACCGAATATAATGCAAATAAGTGCTGAACCTCATTCATAAGCAAAAGAGTTGACTTATATATTTTATAATAATAATAATTAAGTTACAGATATGATTGGGTGGCTCTTGGTTTAGATCCAATAAGACATTTATTTGCAATATCGATCCTTTATGAACAGGTCAACTTGAACAGCACGACTGTAAAATATATGAAAAATGACCATTCTGCCTTTATGTTCTTCATCAACTTCATCTCTTTCATTTCAATGTTCAAGTAGCATAATAAAACCCTTGAAATGTTCATATCTTTCCTCAATAAATCCTAATCAAATTCAACCAAAACCTATAAATTAAACCTAAAACTAATAAAAACTCAAACTCTAAATAAATCAAAGCTTTACTATCAGAAGAAAACCAAATGATATAATCATGTTCAACTGAATTTTTTATATTTGTTTTTGAAGCTCTAATATGCTTGGCAGCTTCCTGTTCTTTCACAATTGACGATTGATAAATAATAACACAAAGGGTAAACAAATTATCAGGATTTTCTTTTTCCTGCTGTGGCCTTGTGGTGGTATAGTAAATAAAGAAGGTTTAGAATGAGAAACAGAGATTGGAAAGTCAAATTAACATTAATAAATCATGGAGTCCCAAGAAGATTGGCAGCATAAAGAATCAATGGAGGTGGTGATACCGCGATACGATTCCGCCAGAATGATTTTCACTATAGTGTTCTTCAAAAAATAGAAATAAGTATGCTGAGAACAGGAAGTGTAAGCGTCTTCAATATCTCTCAATTTTACACTGATTTCCCTCCCCGCGATACAAATTTCTCCTGAACTCAGCCCTAAGAATTGCTCTCGATCCTCATCTCATCCCGTGTTTCTTTCAGACGAATTCCCCCTATCTTTCCGGCCTTTCCGCCAGTGGAAGCAAAGTTAAGGGCATAGCTGGCGAAATCGCATCAACGTCGATAGCTCAGCCGCAAAAGAACCATGTGCGTTGTAATCTGGGGTTCATTCAAAATGGAGTGCAGCAGTACCAACGATCTGAACTCGGTGACGTAAAGCCAAACTTTTATGTTTGTAAGGTGTGCGTTTGTTTTTTTGTACCGCTCCAAACTGCTGCAGCCTCTAGGTTTCCCACAATGTTTGTAAGCCACACTTGTTCATTTTCCCACAATTTCATTTAGTCGGCAACATGTGTTTTTACCATAAAAGTATAGTTTGTTTTCACGTCCAAAGAATCGTGTTATATTTGGGATTATTTATTTATTTTTATTCTTTAATATTTCATTAATTAAAAATAAAAATATCATACATTGCATAACTTAAAAAAAACCTAAAAATTTAGAAAAACAAATTAGAAACATAAAACCTACAACTTAAAAAAAAAAAAAAAAACCTCAAATGATTAAAAACTTGAAGAAAAAAAAACTATAAATTAGCCACGATTGGCCTAATGTTTTTTCACTTCCTCCTTCATTACCAAAATAACTTAAAGTTCATCCTCGGTTATATTCAACGTGTCCACCGCTAGTATTCGCATGTCGATGTCCCTTTGTTTCCGAAGCTCTCTTTCAGAAGCAAGTTGCAAAATCTTGTTCATTCTATTTTTTATATCCTTCATATCGGCCTCTATTTCTTTCGACTATCTGAATCTCACGCGTTGTCTTTGCTTTTGCTTTTTGCTTTGTCTTTTTACATTGGTCGGGAAGGTGGTGAAACTGGAACATGTTCATCTTCATTCAAATCGAAACTGGAACATGTTCATCTTCATTCAAATCGAATTGACACACAAGCATCTGATGTAGTGTGGTTAGATTCAGATGTTCTGTTGCGTTTTTGAACCACTTTCAATATGCTCCTCTGATGTTTTGTTGTTTTGCCATTTATTGTTATCTTTCACAAAATTCCAAATTTCAAGAAACTTGAAAGCCTTCACGTTTTCTTTTTAATACACTTTCGGCGCTTTCTGCAAAATCACATGATCACTTTCTCCACTTTTCCATTGACCTTTCATGTTGGTATATAAATCATTAAACAACATGACTTCCTTGTTCATCTTCCCCCATTTCGAATACATTTGTTGTTTTGAACAATAGTCTCCACGATTTATTCTTTTGTGGAACCTATGTAAAACCCGAATCCAAAAACAGTTGTGTTTTTGATCTTTTCCAATCGTCTCATATTCCGAAATATCAATTCATGATTGTGCCAACACTAACACTTCTAGGGGTTCCCAACATTTAGCTTGCACATTCTCTTTTCTTTTAGTTGCTACTAGAATGGGCTGAGTTTCTTCAACGAATTTCAATTCAGAATTAAAAACGACCATTCGTGGTTGTGGTTGTGCTTGTGTTTGTTGAACAAACTCAGGTTGAGACAAAATCAAATGGATTAAAATTTGAGTTGGGTTGTGATAGTGTTTGTAGTAGTGGTTGTGTTTATGGTAGTGGCTATATTGGTCGTTGTGTAAAATACGGAAACATACCGCCATAGTGTCAATGCGGAGACGAAAAAATTGGTTGACCATATGAAGGTATTAGGGTTGTGGTGTTTCTAATGGGTGTTGTTTCGTTGGCAGGTCTTTTGGAAGAAGACATTTTTAAAAAATTTAAAGAAAAGATGGTAAAATGATAAGGAATTTGAGTGAGGATTTTGTAAAAAAAAAAAAAAAAGTAAATATATATACGGTAAATTAAAAAAAATTAATTTCTCAATAAAAGGACCGTTGAACGCTCAAAAAGCACACACCCAATCAAATCATGCAACCGTGTCTCGCCACTGTGCGGCCTAAACCGTGCTTAGCCGCACCCACGGGGCGGTGTTCGTCATCCAGGTGGCAAAACCGCGGTTCCAAACCGCGCCCACGCCTCGAGTCTAATAAGAAGTCTTTTTATTTTTTAAACACCTGCAATAAACTTAAATTTAAATACATTGATTTTAGAAACTGAAAATAGTTTTCAACGCAAAAATTTTAATAATTCTAGTCTTGAAACATTGAAAGAATACAAAAAAAAACAAGCAAAAAACAAAAATATAAAATTTCTAAAAATATATATATTAAAAAATATAAAAGAAGCTATCAATTTTTTTCTAGAAAATACTAATTTTAAATAACATAAAAAAAGGAAATTATAAAAAAAATTAAGAAAATATTACAAACAATGGCTAGAAAATTCATAAAAGACTCACATAAGGTAAAAAGACGCAACCGAAACTAAAAGTATTATTGAATGAAACGGTAAAAAAATTAAAAAAAAAATCAATTTTTTTTTTAAAAAAAAATCAAGTTATAAGAAAATTGCGGAAACTATAAAAAGAAATTGTATCAAATTTATAAATCAAAGTTTAAAAAAAAAAATTAAGATATACCAAATTTTTTAAAAAAAAATTCACTTGGTAAAATAAAAGCCAAAGATTTTTAAAGAAACAAGTCAAATGTTGCGTCGCACAGAACATGAGCAGTGGTTTTGTACCCTGAAGGCTTTCAAAAAACAAACTATTGCAAAAAAGTAAGTGTTGCGTATGTGTTGCGCTACGCAGCAAAAAGTGGTATGAGGTTTTACTGAGAAAACAAACAACACCTAGCACCTAACAAAAGAGAAAATTGCAATTTTAATTATACCTTTCATGGTAAATATATTACTAACACATTTCCACATCATTTTTGTTTAGAAAAATACAAAATTAGTCATTTTCCTTAATTACTTTATAGAAAATAGCCAAAATACCTAAATTACAAAAATAGTCATCAAAATCGCAGATCGATTAAGCCCATCTGCGATTTCAGCCAACCATCTTCGAACATACAAGTCGATGAAGCAGCGACGCGCATTAGGAGTTGTACATTTTGTCATAACTAACATTGGGCCTAAAATAATTCATTTTGTATGGCTGTAAATGGGTTCACAAGCCATATTAGGCCGTAAACCCCATCCCTTTACCACCTTTGGGCCATGAACCCTCAAGAAGGGTCCCAATGGGCCGAGAACCTTCAATATACACCTCACAATTTAGAACATAATCAAGCAAAAGGCCCAAACTCCTCTTCTCTTCTCTTCCCCTCTCATTCTCAGCCAACAATTAAAAAAAAACAAAATTAGGGTGAAATAGATTTTGACACCTCCTATTTTTCCTAGTGGATATCCATGCAAAATTTGCATGCATCTATGCAAACTTTTTTATCACTCTCTTCATAAATCAACTCTCCATTCTCCCACTTCTCTCTACCTCTCGACCACCCTCTCCATCTTCATTCACCATTTCAAAACCAACTCATTTCCTCTTAACCTTCAACATTCTCCTACCTTCTATCTCTCTAAAATTTCGTGTGAGTGTGTATGTGTTCTTCAAGAACTCTTCATCAAAGATCATCATTTTGGTAAGTTATTCTCTCATCAAAGTGTTTAAGTTCATTTTATGATAATCTTCACTCCTTAACAGTTCGTTTCATGATACGTGCTCTTAAAACTACATAGATCTCGAAAATCTCTTCAAGGAAGCTTGTAAAGCAGAAAATCTCTTCAATCTTCTTCTAAAACCGAAATCTCCAAAACAAAGTGAGTTCATACACCCTATTTTTTGTTTTTACTATGTTTTGGGGAAGAATACAAGTTGTTTTGTGTAGATCTATGTGTGTATGCATGATTTTGTGTGTTTTTCATGATATATGTGTGAATATGTGATAAAAACTCCATAAACTTGAAGGTCTACTAAAATGTGATGCTATTTGTAGAACATAGCACTCAATGCAACTTATTATACAAGAAGAGGTTTTAGAATACATCCAAGTTACTTAAAAGTAAGAAAATTACATAAGAGGGCCAAAAGTGACAAAATAAGCAAAAATGGGGGTATTTTTAGGTAACTCACGGCTTATAGGGGTTCAAAAAGGATTATTTTTGCTAAATATGGTTATTTACGACATT